AAAGCACATAAGAGTCCATACAAAGGAGAAACCATGCAGCTGTGAGATTTACAGTGAAGACTTCTCAAATAAATCAGGCTTAGTGAAATGCATAGGATTACATACAAAAGAGAAACCACATACCTGTGACATTTGCAAAAAAGCCTTCTCTAAAAAAAGCGATCTAGTAAAGCACACGAGAGTACACACAAAGGAGAAACCATATAGCTGTGAGATCTGCAATAAAGACTTCTCATATAAATCTGTCTTAGTGAAACATATTAGAGTACATACAAAGGAGAAACCATATATCTGTGACATTTGCAAAAAAGCCTTCTCTGAGAAAGGTTCTCTAGTAAGTCACATGAGAGCACATACAAAGGAGAAACCATATATCTGTGACATTTGCAAAAAAGCGTTCTCTGAGAAGGGTTCTCTTAAGGCATTTGAGGATACATACAAAGGAGAAACCATATAGCTGTGAGATCTGCAAAGGACTTTTCAGATAAATCTGCCTTAGTACAACATAAGAGTGCATACAAAGGAACGACCATATAGCTGTGAGATTTGTAAAAAGCCTTCTCTGTGAAAGGTTATCTAGTAAGACATTCGAGAGTACATACAAAGGAGAAACCATACATCTGTGACATTTGCAAAAAAACTTTTTCAGAGAAGGGTTCGCTAGTAAGACATTTGAGGGTACATACAAAGGAGAAACCAAATAGCTGAGAGATCTACTAAAAATCAGTCTTAGTGGATCACATAAGAGTACATGCAATGGATAAGCCATTTATGTTTGGTTTCCGATAAAACCTTATGTCCAAAATATATTCCTGCACTACATAAGAAAGTACTTGCAAAGGAGCAATGTGCCTGAGGATTCTCCAAGAAATAGGATTTAGTGATTATGTGTGGGCATGCAAAATTGAAGCTATATAAGCATTCTCTTGGAAAGAAAGAATACTCTGATGTACATAAAAGTCAAATGTATGAGTTCTGTAGTTATGCCTTCACCCAGAGTAGAAACTTCGTAGGGCACATGAGAATTATCAATAAAAAAAGACTTCCTGACATTATTGTGCAGATGCATCACAGATTTTGAAGGTTCTCTTTTTCTGACTTTTGTTTTATATGATATTTCAAGTTATTTGTATTATTACCTGTATTTTAGTCTTCATAGACTTAATGTCACATTGGGGAAATCAAATGACAGCCATTAATGCTAATGGTGTTTCAAAAAGTTGCAACTCTTTCTATTACATATAGCCACTAATATTGAGGTCATGCAAAGGAAAACCACGCAGCTGTGAGATTTACAGTGAAGAGTTCTCAAATAAATCAGGCTTTGTGAAATGCATAGGATTACATACAAAAGAGAAACCACATACCTATGACATAGTGTTGTAGCTTCTATCCTGATTTTTTTGTTACAGTTACAGGTAGAAACTACAGAAACTTGCATCTATCTGTATGTACATATTTCTACCATATCTATGCATTATTTCGTACTTTCCCAATGCCATGAGTAATTACGTGGGATGAATGAAAGGCATGAATGAAAATTAATATTTCTGTACTGCTAGAGTTGTGTTTAAAGCGTTTCATTATATCTTGTGATATACATGCGTACATCTGATGCAGATGTGATCAAAGTGCATTAAATGCATCTGTTCCAAAATGAAGATATCCATTCTCATTCATATCTTTTTTTAATGTTATCACAATGAACACTAAGTACATCATATCTTCATTTACATTTTGTGGACTGGCTCTTGGCTAAAAAAAAAAAAAAAAAAAAAAAAATGAAAAGAAATAAAAAAAATAAAAAAATAAACATGCACCACACGCTGATTGATGTTGTCAACAAAATGTAAATGAAGATATGATGTACTAGTGTTCATTGTGATAAACATTAAAAAAAGATATGAATGAGAATGGATATCTTCATTTTGGAACAGATGCATTTAATGCACTTTGATCACATCTGCATCAGATGTACGCATGTATATCACAAGATATAATGAAACGCTTTAAACACAACTCTAGCAGTACAGAAATATTAATTTTCATTCATGCCTTTCATTCATCCCACGTAATTACTCATGGCATTGGGGAAAGTACGAAATAATGCATAGATATGGTAGAAATATGTACATACAGATAGATGCAAGTTTCTGTAGTTTCTACCTGTAACTGTAACAAAAAAATCAGGATAGAAGTTACAACACTATGTCACAGGTATGTGGTTTCTCTTTTGTATGTAATCCTATGCATTTCACAAAGCCTGATTTATTTGAGAACTCTTCACTGTAAATCTCACAGCTGCGTGGTTTTCCTTTGCATGACCTCAATATTAGTGGCTATATGTAATAGAAAGAGTTGCAACTTTTTGAAACACCATTAGCATTAATGGCTGTCATTTGATTTCCCCAATGTGACATTAAGTCTATGAAGACTAAAATACAGGTAATAATACAAATAACTTGAAATATCATATAAAACAAAAGTCAGAAAAAGAGAACCTTCAAAATCTGTGATGCATCTGCCACAATAATGTCAAGAGGAAGTCTTTTTTATTGATAATTCTCATGTGCCCTACGAAGTTTCTACTCTGGGTGAAGGCATAACTACAGAACTCATACATTTGACTTTTATGTACATCAGAGTATTCTTTCTTTCCAAGAGAATGCTTATATAGCTTCAATTTTGCATGCCCACACATAATCACTAAATCCTATTTCTTGGAGAATCCTCAGGCACATTGCTCCTTTGCAAGTACTTTCTTATGTAGTGCAGGAATATATTTTTGGACATAAGGTTTTATCGGAAACCAAACATAAATGGCTTTATCCATTGCATGTACTCTTATGTGATCC